ATGTTAAAAGGGTCAATACTATGTTTAGTTTCCAGAATTTTAATATATAGAATAGCTAAATTATTTTAGAATTTTAAATTTCTAATTTTCATTTTAAAATGTGAGAGGAACAATTTTTTTTAGGTGTTATATATGAATTTATCTTAAAATCTCAGATTCCTATTTTATTCGATAAGAAAGTGCAACATGAATTTTTTTAGAATTCTTTAAAACATACTTATCCCATACATAAACTTTTATTTAACATTCATATTTATTAATCTATGTATTCACATAGATGTTTAAATTTTACTTATTTAATAATATTAATTTCGCATGCATTTCAAATAAATATAATTCAAATTTTTAAGAAATTTTTTAATTTAGAAACTTAATTCTTTAATGTATGTATGCATATTTAGTTATACAGCTTTTATTTTGGCAAATGTTACTGTTATCACTTTTTATAGAATAAAATTTGCATTTGACAGTCTAAATCAAAATTTTTTAAATTACCTTCATAGTAATATTCTATTTGTTGCAGTGAACGTAACATTCAAGTCATCCATATTTATTTCATAATTTGGTTGTAAATATGTTTTAAGACCTGTCAACTCTTTTGTTTATATAATTTCTTTTTTTTTTTACTTCCTATCATTTTAGTAAATTTACCAATTAATTTGAGCTATTTTAAAAACGTGTATCTAAAATGCTTTATAATTTTCACTAATTTATCTGACTTTATTCATGCTTCTTACATAACTTTTTAATTTCTTTTAAAATTCTCATAATTATTTACAATTAATAAGTTGTCTCAATATTATAAAAATTTTTTTTTTAATATAATATACATATTTTAAGAAAAATTAAACATAAATTAGAAATAACTTTTTCCAAATAATAAAATTCACAAATTTCCGAATTCCAGATTATAAATACAATTTATATGGTAAATATTAAATACAAATTCTCTCAATCATATATACAAAAAGTTTTCATAATCATTTGCAATTAATAAGCTATTCCAATTAATATCATAAAAAGAGATTAACGTAATATTAATATATGCAACACTTTTTCTTGCCATGTCAGTGGTTAAATTCGACTCTATATTAATATATTCAAAGATTTAGTTGACCCACTTTCAACTACATGAGAAACGCTATATTGTTTGCTCCGTTCAAAACTTTGTTTGGAACGAGGAGAGCTAGTGACGTCGCTGATGACGTAGGACTAACCCTGTATATTAGAATATTAATTTGTATGAAAGATAATAATTATCAACAAATTGTAGATTACAAAATATATTACAAATTGTATTTTGCTTAAAATTTTTAATTTCATGCAAAATACAATTTGTAATACATTTTTTTATTAACTTAATAACATTTTATAACTTAATAATATATTTAATTAGCTTAAAATATGCATTTAGCTTTCAATTTATTTATTTCATATTTTGGATGTTACTTAATATTGCTTTGCATAAGAAAGTGTAGAAATTTGTAAAAACTATCTTTATATAATTATTGAATAAAATAATTGTTATAAATTATTTTGAGTAACTCTAGATGAACAAGCTATATAGTTATGTGGAAATTTTTGGCCAAAAAAATACAGAAAAAAATACAAGTATGTAATAATAAAGGATCTAAATTTTAAGAAATTACCAGCCTCATATTTTTTTTTTAATTGAGGCTTTCTTATCCCACTTACTTAATATTTGTTGGGATAAAAATGTTTATCTAGAAAACGTACATTTCAGTGTCTAATTTTGCGTTTTAAATTGTCAGATGCACTAATTAATCATCATAATTAAGGAGTGCTGTGAAAATCATTAAGTAAAGAAAAATGCAATGTTATTTTTTACAATAAAAATGAATAAGGATGATTTGTTCTTATTTTGTTAACTTTAAACAGGGGATACTTTTTTCAGAACAAATATGTACAGTCAGTAAAAAAGAAAATCAAGCATTATTAATAAACATACTTTAAAAATTTTACAAAGCCCCTAATTTTTATTTAAAAACTCTGTATGTTTATTTAAAACTCTGTCTACATCACTATTTTTAAAAAACCTAATAAATAATATCTAGGATTATTTAATATATATATTTATTGTGGTGTCCTATATGGATTCATCCTACCAATGTTTGTACCAATCCATTCAGATTCTGCATAGCAATCATTGCATTTACTATAATAGACTTGAACAATTCTAATTTATGTGGTCCTTTTGCATTAACACAGTGGAGAGAGCTCTAATAAGGATTGGGATTGAAGAGTGGATGTAAGATTATTTAGGTCAATAATCTGGATGCCCCTAGACCCAGCGAAAGTTGGAGATCAAAGCTTGCAATGAAAAAATTGGTCTTAAATTAATAATAAGAAACAAAAAAGTTGGTTTTCACAGCTCACAGAATAAATTTTCACCCTCTGCAATAGAATTTGGATTAACTACACTAAGAAGGATAGGAGAAAGCTCTATTTGAAATTGGAAAAAAATTCAATATATAAGAATCACAAAACTTATGATTATTTTGACTACTTGTCATACAGACTATCCGATAAAATTTGGCAAAGAAATTATTTGTCTTATAGTCAACTTATATAATTGACTTATGGTCAACTATCATTACAAACATATTTATTAGCAGCTATTCTTATCTTTCATGACTATTTTTTTGAGTAATATTTTAGAATATATTTTTCTACTTTTTAGAACATATTTAGTTCCGAACTTGCTATCTCAAAAACTCGCTATTTTGAAATTTTGGCAAAATAGCCATGAGTGAGGTTACACAAGTATGCATGAGTTTATAATTTGGGCTAACCTCGAAATAAATATTTTCTCACCATGTCCCTGATATAGTTAAATAAGATTTTTGACCAAGAAATTTCAATTTGTTCAAAAATATTGCTTAGAACCACCCTCTACTTCTTCAAAAAAAATAGAATCAGAATTTCTAAAGTCCTATGAAATTAGATGCGTTCATTTTAATACAGAAATGATGGATGTTATAGCTTTATAAAATCTCAATATTTTGTTATTTATAACTCATAAGGCTATCATTCAAATTGAAAGAAAAAATTATTGTTACTAACAGGAAGGAATTATTTTTAGTTTATTTCATATTTATGATGTGTTAAAAAATTAATATCTAGTTACAATTCTAATGGATTCAAATTGTTATGTATATCAATTTTAAAGCTTAAAACTGTTAATTCAAAGTTGCTTCAAAAGGGCATATTCCTGCTCTGATATTGTCTGCTTGTTTAAAACAACCAATCATATTACTGTAACTAAAACTTATCAAATATTTCTATTCCAGTCTAAACAATGTTTTTCAAGATTTTTTTAAAAATAAAAGGTGTTTTTGTCAACCTTAAGACTGAAAAAAACATTTGTTTCGGAAAGCCAAAATTCTGTAACCCTTGCTAATATCCTAGCGTTTTATAATTAAACCACTTAAAATTAAATTTTCTGTTTGCTCGAAGGTGAAGCAATTTCAATTACTTTAAAGATAAAATTATTAGGTTGTAATTTCTCACATCATTAACTTATCCTACGTTCATTAGAAGTATACTTGCACTTTAATGCTATTTTGATCTGTCTGTAGTTTATTTTATTTGGAATAGCACTCACTTTCAAAAACCAAGTAAATTTTCTTTAATTTTCTATTGCTTAAACAACACAAAATGTAAATACAGAAGGAAAACAAATCAAATATTGGGATAAGAATTTGATACAATTGGGATAAAAATTTGGGAAACAAAATGAAAAAATAATTTTTTTCAAGATGAAATATCAGAGTTATCGGATGTCAAACTTCACACTTGCATAAACTAAAATTAGTAAGTTTTTCCATAAAATTTCGTGAAAACATAGTTTTTCATACTGTTAAAAAAGTTTACAACTCCTTGCAAAAATTGCACTTGAGCCGAAACATCCACGCTTTCAGCTCAACATGCAATACATTTCAGAAAAATTATTAATGAAAATTATTTGGTCTACACTACTAATCTTATCATAAATCAGCCATGACATTAATCTGAGGAACCATCAGTGGTATTTTTCAGATTGTTTCCTTAACAGGCTGAGAAGAAAAATCACAAACCTCAGTTACTTCTTAAAATGAAGAGGAATCATATATTCCTGATCTGTGCAGCGTATACAGCCCCTGGCCAAATTATAATATGCACTATAAGATTCTATGTAAAATCTTAAATATCAGGTGATACTATACAGCTTCATTGCTTTTACGCGGCTGAAACTGGTTTGCACTTGTTTACATTCGTGTATCAACATAGTAATGAAATATGTTACAATAAATACAAATAGGAAGTATATAAAAAAATCTCTTGAATAAAAACCAATTATATGCATATTTAAATATAAAAGTATTGCATATAAAATCGTGCAAAACATGTAATTATTAAAAAACTATAGCACATCAAATAATTTGGTCTAATTATTATAATATACTAATATAATACTTGATATAATAAATATTCTATATTTATATAATATATCATCTAATTTATCCAATCTTCGAATTTATATTACATATCGCATAATTTTACCAATTGATAAACGATGGTAAACAAGTGCAAACCTGTTTCAGTCACGTAAAAACAATAAAGTTGTATAGCATCACTTGATAATTATAATTTTACATAGAATCTTATAGTGAGACTAATAATTTGGCAAGGGACTGCAACAAAATATTTATGAAGTGTGCAAACAAATTCTCATTGTTAAGTGATTTTTACAAATAGGTTATGAATGTCAAATATTATTTTCACTGATATTTTTTATGACTCGGTCAAAGATTGAACCTGATAAATGGTATTCAAATCAAGAGGAAAAAGTGACTTATTAACTTTCTTTTCTAAAATTGTTGACAAATTAATCTGTTTTTTTTTCTTCTGGATTTTCTTGAATTGATTCTCTTTCAAAGCCATTGTAATGTTTTCAAAGCACCTTAACTTTACGAAAAAATCAGTTCATAAAAATAAACTATATGATATATTTAATTTTTATTAGTTTATAACATGAAAAAGAAGGTTATAACTGAAAAAGAATTTAGATTTCACACTTATTCCATTTCATGAACAATGAGAGTAATAAATAATTTACAAAATCTATATACATGTGTTTTTACATAAATATAAATAACCTACTAACATAACATAAACATTTGATTTTAGAACATAGGATTGAAAAGTAAACATTTAATTGTGCACAAAGAATTTCAACGATATTTTTCTACTCATTTTTTGTATGAACTACATTAGCTACTTTCAATGCTCATCAATCAACACTTAACTAGTTTGGGTTTTGAAGTTCAATAAATGATTAAATGACATCCAATATAAAATAGGTGTAAGTTACGTAACTTCTGTTTTGAACAGTACAGTTTAAATTTACTAAAATAAAAATAATAAATAAATATGGAAGAAAAAGTTAAATGTCATTAAGGTAACCTAGGCAGATTTTATAAGCATAAACAAAGACATAGTACGAAGCAAAAATAGCATTCTATCATAAAAAAATTAAAAAATATCAAGCATACATTTTTTTCCAAATATACTTTATACTAATTTATCAATTTTTAGCATTTTTTAAGTGAATTTTAGCAATGCAATTCTTTATTTATAGCATTTGCAACAGTCTGCAATAAAACAAAAGCTGAGTACAGGAAATTGAGTCAAAAGAGTGTTATTTTATTATATTGATCATAAGAGAAGCTCAACAGCCTTTTAAGATTAATAAATAATGACATTTTTTTATCTGTATCACACAAGCAAAAAATCATGTTTTAAGTGCTTTCTTTGTAAAAATGCAATTAGCAGTTTAAGAATTTGTATACCACCAATCTTAACTTAACCAAAATAAAATTGATGCAGGATGGGTCACATATCAATTTAGAATAGAATGGCCAATCTATGTATAAAAAGGTATTGTTTTGTTAGTTAAATATTTATTATTGTAAAATAGGGTATGACAAAACTGCTGCGGCAAATGTTAGGTAGAGATAGAACAGAACAAGACCAGCACCAAACAACCTGGAACTCATTTTTAAGATGCTGGAGGGCTTTACTGAGTGGGCAGAACAAAATCAGGATTTATAACTGTGGTGAGTTGTTGATTAGTTAGGACATGATTTCAGAAAAAAATAAATGCAAAGCAAGCCATTACAAAAAGTCTTTTACAAAAAAGTAAGTTCTAGAAGAAGCAGTTACCCCAACAACAGAGCAAAAGCAGGTCGTTTGTCAGTTCTGTGGTGGATATTAGGAGTGGAAAGAGTGCTAAAATGGTGCATTCACAGCACCCTCAATATAGTGAATTAGCATTGTCACAAACTATAGGTGTTGAGACGAAATTTTATAGCCAAAATAACAAAATCTTGTGTGGATCCAACCAAATACTTGGAAAAAAAAACTTTTATTATTAAAATCATATATATTCTGCAGATTTTATAGGAAAAGCCTTTTATTATTATACATGATCTTGTGATCTTTTATAATGTCAAACAGATACACAAATGACCTGGATTATACATCGGAATAAAGAAAGTTAGCTGCATTTGCATTTGTATCAGTAGATGTGATTGAGATTGCATTCAGCTGTGATTCAAATTTATTTCAGATAGTGATGTATTTACAAAACGTTTTTCAGCATCTGTATCAGATCTCGAAGAAAATAAAGATTGGTAGGTCTAAAAAAACTGGGCAATGCCTACGCCCGTTTTCCAATTAAAATGTGGAATTGTTTTTGAGAAGTAGCAAATGAACTTCCAAGTACATACAGTGTTATTGAAGGCTAGCATTTTAGCTCGTTATTAGGAGTTCATCATCTAGTATTTGAAAATGCTTACAATTTCATCAGAAAGAATGGTCTTTAAAGAAAGTAAAAATTGGACACTTGATTGCAGGCAGAAGTGAAACTAAAAGAATTAATGACATGATATAAAGACATGAAACCAATAATTTGAAATATTGTTGAAGATTAGGGTAACAGAACAATGATGAGCTACCTCCGTGGAATTGCACATAATTCGTAGTAGAATCATAATGTGAGCTTATAAGTATCTTCTTTATTTTGTATATTTAGAAAATTTTTTTGAATAAGTGAATAAAATAACCACTAATTAAGACAAGGTGGGTCCTAAGCACAAGAAAAGAGAGAGAGAGGTGTTTTTCTTAAAGATTTCACATTAAAAATTAATAAAAATCAGCATACACGATATTATGTCCACATGAGATTTCGACCCAGCAAAATTTCACCCACATGAGATATTGATCTCGTGAGTTTTTGTGAAAGAGAAATTTTGCCCACAAGATTTTGTCCCTAAACCAAACTATGCACCTGTTAACAAACACTCTCTAGTGTCCTGAGAATTAAAATGAGTGCTGACAATGGGTTATATGATATGATATTTTGTACCTGTCCATTTGTGTTCCATAATTGCACTTTACCCTCTAAAGTATGCACTAAGGAGTTCATTAGTGCCCTGAGCACCCAAGAAAAAATATTTTTAAATAAATACAAAATGCAATTTAAGGAATTCAAAAAATTCTCATGTATTATCTATCACATTGTAATAAATTGCAAAAAATTTTATAGAAACTCTGTTTTATATGAAATTTGAACAGTTAATAAGTAAATGCTATAAGCTACTGTTACGTAATTGATGAAAAATTATGTAGGCACATACGCTTTAAATTTATACTTTGCTGTGTATATTACATTTTTAGAAATTTCTACATACTAAATATAATCTACATTATTGCTTTAACAATATTGACAATAATTCAGGAATAAATGTTAATTGCACTTAAATCACTATTTCTCTGATTTTATAGAAAAACAAGGTAAGTGACATCTTTTTTTTGACTTTTCATGAAGTATCCATTATTATTTATTTATTATACATATTGAGAGTTCTCAATATAATTGTCACTTACTTTATTTTCCCTAAAAAACCATTCATCTATACTTCTGTAATCCAAGTCTTCCACTTAATTTCTCATCTCAGTCTTTATGCATGATTTAAATGCTTCCCAACCTTCAGTCTTTACCAAATGAGACTAAAAAGAGATTAAAATGTTACAGCACTAATACAAAGAACAATCCCAAAGTAGAGATACAGTGTGACTTTATTCAAACATAATAACAAAAGAAGATGAAAAAGAAGACAAAAAGAAGATGAAGATAAAATAATTTTTTGAGAATTTCTGAACTAAAACTATGGTAAGAGGGCCATTTTGAAAATTGACTCAATTTAGGAAAATAGAATAACAACAGACAGTGGTTCATATGTTAAAAATGTCTATATCTTTTTTTGATTTTGAAGTCTTTTAAAAGAAAAAAGTCAACACTATCTAGTTCAGATATTTAAATGGTGGAAATATTTATTTAAATTTTTAAATGTCATGTTGAAATAATTTTTTTAGCTATTACTTAGGTGAATTTCAAGAACTTTTTAATAGGAAGTAATAACTTTCATCACCTCAGTTTTTTTTCTCATAACGTTAAATGTAATATTTTGAAAAAAAAAACTCAAGAGTGTTTCTTTTGTTTTTGATCATTAAAAAAATAAAAAGTGGTCTTTAGCCAAAAAAAACTTTTTTAAAAAAAACACAGTTTTTTTAAAGCTTAATTTGTTTAATTTTCTTTCCTTACAATTTTTTTAACGCTTAACTTGTTTCATTTTCTTTCTTTATAATGTTAAATGCCATATTTTTCAATATGAAAAAAAATCAAGAGGTTGTTTTTTATTTTAGGTCAGTAAAAAATAAAAAAGATGTTTTTGCTAAAATAAATCAAGATTTTTTTATCGTTCTAGGAAGTTCCACAAACCACCCTCCATGTTAGTCTTTCACTCATCAGAGTGTTCCTCCTTAAGCATTTTTAGAACGGCAGCCAGCTCTTTCATCAATATAAATTCACCTTTTTGCCTTTTTTCTAAAAATAAACTGCCATTCCTTAAAAAAAAAACTACCTTTCACTTAAGAAATATGCATTAACTATTAAAATAATAATTACACACAAAAAGGTTTAATTTTGATTAGTGTTTAATATTGATCACTGTTAATAAATAGAATAGGGGAGAGTGTCTCAACTTGGGACACAGTACACCCAGGGACATTTCTATTTTTGGCTATAAATTTTAAATTATCTTTTAGTTCTTTCAGATTCAGATAAATGTCAGCATCACCTAATCTTGGAACATATTTTGATTATCTTGATTAAGCAGGTAAGAATTTAAAAAGATTTTTATTCTTGAACCATGCTTACTTACTTTCATATAAAAGTTTAATTAGTTGTAGAAAGAAATTTTAATGAAATTATTTTAAATAAAAGATAATATAATGAAGTATAAAGCTTTCCCTTTAGAAGTTATCAAATTTAATTGTTCTAATTGTAAGCCTAAAAGTATGATATTTTAAAATATCCTATTAAGAATATAGTGCACCTTGGGACAGATGGAGGTGGCTCACCTTGGGACACTAGATATGCATAATTAATCTTTACTAAAAATAGATTTTTAACAAAAAGATATTGTGCATGCAAAGTATTTTCTGATTTATATAATCTGCGTTTATTAATAGTTATTATTTCATATTTTAGGAACTCATTAGACTTAACTAATGACCAGAATTAGAAGCAAAAAGTATGAAAATAATGCAGCAGTTTGTGCTAACAATGTTGAAAAAGCTGGTGCAAATTTTATCTGAGGAAATGACTTGTAAGAAAGCTGCTGAATTATACAGTATTAGTAAGATCATTCTGAACCGGCATTTTATTTCCTTTAAAAAAAAGAGAGTAGTCAAATTCTAACTTTAAATATATTTTAAATAAACAGAGTCGCAACATATTCACAGGTGAGGAAGAAACATATTTGGTACGCTATATGTTACAAGCCTCCAAGTACCATTAAGGATTAACAATATGTGATGCACATGCACTTATATATGAGCGTGCTTCGCCAAACCAAATGAACATTCCTCCAAACTGGGAGAATGAAAAAAAAATCTGGGAAGATATCGATTTAATGCTCTCAGAATTAGTGAGAAATACATCCAGAAGAAAACCAGTAATTAGTGATTTATGCAATGATGACAGTGATGATGATGCTTGCAGCTCAGATGAAATGAACAGTGAAAGTGACAACAAAATATTTAACGATAAGAAAAAAGTTCACCTACAAAAAAGTAGTGAAACAAGATTACATATTGGAGATTTTGCTCATATAAATTTGTTGGTGAAAGATCTGTTGTTGCCTTTGTATATTGCGTTGAAAGAGTTGATGGAGATGAAAAAGAGTTATCAGTTTTGAGAAGAGTGAATAAATCTGCAACATTTATTAATCCCGAAAAAGAAGACAAATCATACATAGATTCAAATGACATTATGTTAAAACTTAAGCAGATCAAAGCTTTGACCGCTCTACAGGTGTGGTATTTGATTCTGAACAATTAGATTTGTATACCAAGAACTTGAAACTAACAAAATAAAACTTTATTAACAAAATTAAAAAATACAAATTTATTTAGTTATACTATTTTTAAAAAATTTCCACTTAACTTTTCACATCTTTTTAACTGTCCCAAGGTGCCTCACTAGGAGGTACACCTTTGGAGAAATAGCAAGGTAACAAAACATTTTTTAAAATTTTTTCTATGACAGATACAAAATCAAAACCCAGTTACAAATGTTTTCAAATGTTACAAGAATACCAGATAAAATTTTGACAATAATTGATCAAAAAAAAAAAAAAAGTGTCCCAAGGTGAGCCACTCTCCCCTAATATATACTGTTAATATATAGTAAAATATAGGTTTAATTTTGATTATTGTTATTAATCTTAGGATTATTCTCAACTGGTTAATTTTCATAAGTTTCTCTTTTTTCAAGGAGGTACAGTAATATTTTTTAAGTGATTTTAAATTTTAATATAATTTTGTGAAAAATATTTCTATTTTAAAAAATTCACCTTTAAATGCTTATTTTCTAATACTTTTCAATATAAGTTATAGAAAAATCTTTTAAGCTGTTTTTCAAAACGTATTTCTTTTAGTTAACTTCTTTAAAAAAATATATATAAATATGCACAGATACTTCCCTCTTAGTCAAGTGTGAGTTTAAAAATGAAGATTGTGTTAATTAAATTTTTCTACAACAATGGATAAATAGTTATTATTTAAAGCAAAAAGTGTTTTAAAAAATTGAAAAAGCCCTTAAAATTATAATAATTTTTTAACAAATTAGAATTTCAAAAAAAAAAAAATATTAATAATAATAACTCCTGGAAATTTCATAAATGAAAATAGAATCAATATGCCTATTTTATACGGAAAAATATTTACTATAATAACCTTCAAAAGATAAATTGATAATTGACACATTCTACTTCTCATACTATAACTTGCATGCTAGAATTAGTTTGTTCAAAATAAAATATCAAAACTTATTCTGAGACACATTAATCCGTGTTTATTGAAAAAAGTATTCGAAAAAAATTAAAAAGTAACAGCAGATTTAACCAGAAAAAGTAGGCAGAAAATTTTTTTATTTTTTGTATACTTATGTTTTTCAGGGTGCCAAACATAAAGTAACATAATCCTTTCTAAAAAATCTTATTTTTTGCAGATTTTTTTTTCTTTTGAGTTTAAGACAAAAATTTCTGACTGTATATCTGAAATCTAAGAGAAAATTTCCAAGAAAACCTGTCTCTAGAATTTGACTATAGGGTATTATATCAAGAAATTACCATAGCACTGTAATAATGACTCTATGAGTACTTCAACAGAAAAAATAAAGGAGAATAATTAAAAGAGGTTTAAAATTTTATATGAATTATTTCGTTGATTTAGTAACACAAACAAGAAAACTCCTTGAGAGGAGGATCCCTTCAGAAAAACCATAACTTTCATAAACTTTCATTAAAAATCAAAGGTCTTCGCCATTTTTAATTTTTAATCTCATCTTCAAAGTTTATTTAATTCAGCTTTGGAACAACAATCATGTGAGTTTTTGTATCCTTTTTTGCTATCAAACCTCATGCAAGTGTTTTTCTAAAGTTGAATAGAATAAATGTTGATGAAAAGAGATTGAAAATCAAAAATCAAAAAAATTGTTTTAGGGAAAGTTTAGAAAAAGAATATAGTAATTCAGAAAAAGTCAGTACTTCCCTAAGGGGTGGAAATACAGTGCTGGGAAAACAACATTGGGGACCATTGCTGTCCTTGATGTCTGAGTTTCCCGGTTTTCTGGATGCAAAAAAATATTCAATACAGCTTAACTATATTCCTTCTTTAATATTGAATTTTAAAAAAATAGCTGTTTTAGTATTCTGTACACTGATGAACACATGTAATGCTTTCCTCCCTCATAAATCAAAGAGAAAACAAAGTTTGTTGACGATGGCAGCTAATTAAAGACCACAAATATTTTCCATACACAGAAAATGTAGAATTTTTCTCTTCACCCATTTTCGAACTAAGGATTTTCAAAGTTAAAAAAGAAATATTTCCCCCACCTTCCCTCTATTCAACTTCAAGGGTGACTGGAATTTCCATTTTGCCACAATAGTTATAGTTTAAAATGCCTGTAAAACCAGGCAAAATTTTTCATGGTTTTCTGGTATCATGGTTTTTTGGATAACAGATGAAAGGTTTTGTACTGTATTTTGATTTTCTATTACTAGGTCCAACAAAACAATTTTTAAAAAATTCCAAACCAATTAGTTAACTATTAATTCCAATTAATTATTTATACCTATTTTTCATTGAAGTATTGAAAGAGACACCATTCCAGTGCTATAGGCATTTTTGTCATGAACATAATTTTTGATTTATTACCCAACAGCCAAACTTAAAGTACTGATTTTGTAAGAAATGTTTTCTATTTTTCAGGTATGCAACCAAAAATCTTCTGTCTTTAACCAAGTAAAAAGTTATATGCAAAAAAACTAAATTTGCATTTTTTTTACATAAAATTTCTCATTTTGCAAAAAGCAGATTCATGTTTAGCACTCCAAATTACACAAATGAAAAAAAAAAAAAAACAATAAATTTTTTGGGCCATTTCTTTTCAATCCAGTGCTTTATTAACTGGCGGTTTAGCAAATGGGTGAAATTATGAGAATGTTTCTTCACAATACACTATTTCCCTATCTCATAACATTGAAAAACCAGTTAAGCCATGCAGAGAAGACTACAGGTTAAAATATGACTTTTTACGTGCAGAACCGCAATTAAGTTAAAATTATCATACAGCTCCATAGCTACCTATTTTTATGCTTTTCTCTATGAAAACTTTTTCCAGAGGTAGTGAAAAGAAAATTATACCCGAAACTTAAAAAGTTTTTAAGCTCTTTTTCATTTAAAAATTATTAATAAATTAAATGAGGAAACATCATATATACATACATATACATGGCGAGTCAAAATTGCCTTAGCAAAACAAGAGAGGTGATGCTGCCAAACTAAGTAAGCAATATTGACAATAGAATATAGGGTCACATTTCACTCTGAGAGGCAGGAAATATGTCAGGCATGAACAAGTCATAACCTTTGATGTTGTTTCAGACATACCTATGCAGCATATCTTTTAAGCAAGCTATCTACAGCTAACGTGAACTATTGAATAACACACTGAGTATTTGCTGTGAGTTTTACTGATCAATAAGATTGTGAAATTTTTGGTAGCATTAGTACTGTTGTAAGTTTATGTTGAAATTTTATTTTTGCTCCTTTTTACAACTCAGAGTAGAATGCAACCCTAGATTCTGTGTTAATTATTGCTTGTCTAGATGGACTAACATTGGTCCTCAGCAATTAGTGCTCGAACTGTAAAAACATAACATATTTTGATAGACATGTACCTTGAAACCTCTATGCAGCCTGTCTCTCATTATTGCTATGAATTCTTTATAAGACAGTTGTCCATCACCATCTTCATCAAAGATTTGAAATACAGCATTTACTAAATTTGCATCCAGACTATGTCCAGTACATATGGCAACAGCACGATGAAATTCCTCTAAAAAATACATTGTTAATGAATTTAAAAAATACTTTTAATATGAAAAAAAAGGAAGAAATATACCTTGAGATATAGGCCTATTTGCAAAAGTAAACATCCTCATGGCAATAGAGAAATCATCTAAGTTGTTCAAAAACTGACAAAATGCTTTAAATTGGGAAAAAGAAATACCCTAAAAGATAAATAATAGTATGAACAAATTATTTAGATGCATAGATCAGATTTTGGTAAGTCAGTATCATAGAATATTTATTTCATTTTAGTAAGCCAAAAAAGTACAAGTTTTTATAACAAATAATTACATTCAAATTAATTATATAATAGATCTAAGAAAATATGATTGCCGTACATTTTAACAATACAAAAAATATAAACAAATTAAAAAATATGATTCAAAAATATATTTTCTAGTTAAAAATAGATTAAGGATTTTGAAAACTAAAAATTACCCTTTTTAAAATAGTATTTTTTATGTTTATAAAACATTCTATTGGGCATATCTTTTCTTTGAAATAAATATACTGACTATACCTTTGTAAAATTTTCATACAAATATTTTCAAGGATAATTAGTATGAAAGCAATTGTTCAGGGCTGATACTAAATTTCTTGAGAAAAATTTCCTAATTCTTCCCTAATTATCTAGAACAATGATTCTAAAACATAACACTAAACATTATCTAGAAGAACAATTCTAAATCATAACAATGCAATACATAAGTTGAAAAAACATGAGAATAGAGGTAGACAGATAACACAAATAAAATCTAAAAAACATGAAAAATAATAGGTCTTTAAAGTAAACAAAGATTAAAACATGCATTATTCATATAATCAATGACAATTTTTAGAAATTTTTTTTTTATTGATTAAATGACATTTAATTAACTAAAGTGCATGATAAGCTGAACTTTATCTTTCATAAATAAAGACATGTTTTCTACCTCTTTAAAATTAGCAGTACAGATATTCAGAAAAAAAAAAAACCTTTTTAACAAGTTTCAAATAAGTAAATCAAAACTGCTCTTGTCTTTTCAACAACTCTTTAACTGTGCTTAGTATAGCATTATAAATATTTGGCTACTTTAAACCATACCTGAGAACTTTCATGATTTTTTTCTGATGGTAGCAACTTTTTACATTAATATGATTTTCATTGCAAAAATTACAATTTTAAATTATTTTAATCACCAAGAAATTAATAATTAAAAAATATGTATAAAAAAATTAAAATTTTAATCATTAATGTGTGAAATGTTGGTGCATTTAAAAATTTGTTAATTCCTTAAACTCATTTACAGTTTTGAAATTTTAATATTTACTGCTTCCAAATGTTATTTTTTTACATGATATATCAGACATTTTTCTCATTACTAATTCTATATAGGTGGGTGTTTGGTGCACAAAAAAAAAATCAGGAAGTTTTCCTATGCACAGGATCATTTGTAGGTAGAAAATAGAGTGTGGTTTTTCAAGTACTCAACCATTTAAAGGGATGAAAAAATTATGACTTTGTTAGAGCAGTACCACTGGTAGGTTAATGCTTTTACTCTGCTTTTTCGCTACCACTTCAAAAATGTTATAGAAAAAAGTAAAAAAGTTGACAGCTATGCTAAATGCAATAAAAGGAAATAATTTTTTTTTCTTATACATAAGATTTTAAAACAGCTTGCAAGTTTAAAAAATCCTATTATTTTCTTGGAAAACAAAAAACAAATTTGTTTATTTTGATTTCAAAAAAAGGCGTTTTTTGGAAATAAACTGGTCTTGCATAAGAAATCTCACTTATACATACTATTTCTTCACTTTGTCTCAAAGAGTAATTTCTAGACTTTTAGGCATTCTTTCAGGTGATATTGTTTACAGTTTGAATTTTTATGTTTCCCAAGTCTGATTGATATTAAAGAAAGTAACTCTTGATGAATAATTCAAAAGAATTAACTTCCTTACCTGCATTTTGATACATGATATTTACAAAATATTACAGTTTGCTGACTTCTGAAGAGCCCAGCTTTTACAACAAATGAAAATTGTATGGATTTCTTATTTTGTTTACTTCAGTTAAAAATAATTGAGCGTTATTTGCATAAAATTTATAGAATAAAATAAATACTATATTTATTATTATTTTTACTGTATTTACTTTATCAACCTAAAACCACTGGTTTTTAACGTTATCCATTCATTATAACAGTTAGAGAACACTCAATAAAATAGTTATGCTGATATGTATAGCAATTGATGATTGATGTACATAATATATTGTTATAGACTGAAACTTATTTTGATAGTTAGGAATATAAACCTTTTCATCAGGAATACGCTCATGAACACGTTCAATATAAGCTTCATAATCACTACTGTGCACAAGAGTATAGCGTAGCAAAATTCGTGCAAAATCAACTTCAGAAATAGTAGGCATTCCTCTGGAAAACTCAGTAAATTCTAATTCAAGTACCTCAGTTTGAAGGTTGTCCATAAACCTAAAAAGTGGAAAGAAATATCAGGCACATTTTCATATTTAAGAAATCTACTACAAAACTAGAAATTTCAAGCAACCTTTTCCCATTCTTTTTTAACTTTTCTAAAAATTATTCATAGATTTTTTTAAGGGAGAAATCAAACATTTTATCTTGGGCGTATAAGACGAAAATGCAAACTCAATAATAGCTACATGGTCTAAACCAGTGTTACTTAATTATTTTCAGTTTATGACTAACCTTAAATATCTGATTTTATATGTTGCAAACTTGTCTGAAAAATTTAAAAGTTGTTTGATAGCTTTATTTATTTACAAAATTAATTCAGGCTGATTAAACACATTATATCAACAAAAAAAAAAATTAATGCCAACAAACAAGTTTGAATAAACAAAATAATAATGTCAACTATAATACATGTCATAATTCATTCTATGTTTAAATGAACAAAGAATCGATTACAAATCATACTTTATTCATTCAAACACAGAATTATTTGTAACATTCTAAATGTGTTTGAAAATTTGTTAAGTTATTTTTTTAAAAAGTCTATGAACTGAAATAAAATTTTTTTTAGAATGATTTAATTCAAAAAGAATGAATTGTAAAAGTTCTCATTTACATTTTTATTATTGTAAAAGCATACAGATATCTTGAAATTCCGCTGCTACATATATTTTACACATCACAAATAATGAAATCTTTTTAATTTATAAAAAAAAATGGTGTTAAAGTTTATAAATTATGTGCATCATTTTGTTCCTAATCTTAAAATTTATTTGAGAAAATCTATTAAAAACTAAGAATAAAATCTAAATGTATGGTGATTTTTAGGTAAAAAAAACTAGATCTATCTTGTATGTAAAAAAAAAACTTTATTAATTAAAAATAAACTATAGGTTCAGTTTCAAAACAATGTAGTTAAGTATGCATTATAGTATACTCAAATTTAGACATTTAAGATAGCATGACAGTTCCATGAGATTAATTTAATAGGATCTCAGATGACCTGGCGTTAAAATACCACTATGGGTTTTAGGGAAAATTTGGTAAAAGAGGAACATTTAAATACTGATATTCAGACAAACGAGTTTTTTTAAAAAAATATTTCTACGCAGAATTGAATACAGCTAACTACGTAAGGATAGGACTAATACACTGTTGGACAATTGCTAAGGACGAATCACAAATTGCAATGTAGCATAACATTAAGCAAGGCATGAGACCTAGTAGGATAAAATATAGTTGCCACACTGTTCAGACATTAGAATAAAGCATATTCGTTGTTCTGGAAAGTACAAAAGCTGTGAAACATCTGAAAGAAAAAAAATGTTCAATTGATGCTGCATACGGAAAAATGGAACAATGCATCTAAATATCAGCAGGCAACATGAAGAAAGGTGTCAATACGGGATATGTCCACTGTGGAGTGTGATGCAACATTCTATATGTCGTATCATACTTTGCACAACATTATCCAGGAGCTGTTGAGGCAATTTATCCCAATCCTCTGTCAGTGCACGGATGAGGGTGTTCTTGTTTGTCGGAGGATAGTTTCAGCCAGCAAGTTGCCTCCCCAAAGCATCCCAAACATTTTCAATGGGGTTTAGATCTGGAGAACGTGATGGCCATACGAGGCGTTGAATACCCTCACTGTCTAGACAATCCTGAACAGCGAGTGTTCGATGACATGTTGCGTTGTCGTCCATAAAAACAAATTTATCACCGACAGCACCACGAAAAAGACGAACATGAGGAAGTAGAACTTCATCAATGTATCGTTGGCCCGTCATAGTCCCATTTGCAACCACGTGTAGGCGGGTGTAGCCATTGATCATGATGCCGGCCCACACCATGACAGTGCATGTCGGATATTGGTCACTTTCCTGGATATTTTCTGGACGATAACCAGTACCACTCTCGCGCCAGATCAGTTGACGTCTACAATCCGATGACAGACTGAACCACTGCAAACTGGCAGTACGGTGCTGTCTGGTCAATGGGACACACACAGCAGGTCTGGGGGCATATAGTCCTCCTCCCCTCAAACGTCTGGCAGCAGTTTTTCAGGAGATCTGCTTTCCTGTAGCAGCAAGAAACTGATTTGCCACCAGCAGAGCTATGGTGCGCCTGTTCCTTTTTGCTGATAGGACGATGTATCTGTCTTCTGCAGGCGTCGTACTTCTAACACGACCTCCCCCGTCTACTACACATTCCAGTAGTTTTAAATGCTTTCCACAGCCGTACAACAACGCTGTGACCGATGTCGAACTCTCTGGCAACATCTGTTATTTTTCGCCCTTCTTCGATCTTTCCAATAATTCGGCCACGCTTAAAATCATCTAAGTGATATCGGGAAGACATGCCGAAAATTTCAAGTTCGTCAACTAAATCTTTCCTGTAAAACTTTGACTTGAAACAACAACTCTCCACACGCATCAAAACCTTTAAAGCTCTTATCAGCGCTATCATGTGATGAACAGACGTGGAAAAAAAATTTGCATATGCATACCTCTTCTTACTATATCCCGCACTTATTCTAATTTTCCACATTTTGCTTCCTTTCAGTTTGTGGTTGCTATGGATGATAGTGTTATCCGTCCTTAGCAATTGTCCAGCAGTGTAGTATGAATCCAAATCCATAGGACTAACATATCATAAATTGCAAAGATTTTTATGTATAAAATACTATTTTTAAGTTGCACTTATTTACCAATCAGACATTGCTGTTCAGATACTAACTAGACAAATAAACTATATGAATTTTTTATGAGAATATCTGAGCCAATTGGATAAATTGTTTAAATATTATAAGGGTTTTATTCTTACAAAGTACAATTCAAACATATTACTTTTTTTAGAAGAAAAAAAACCTCATAACTTTATGAATAATGAATATATTGACTCAAGTTTGGTTTTATTAAATCCAGTATTAAAAAATATATGGAAGAATACTTTACTTATTTAGATAGCATTGTCAGGAACACAAACAGGTGAAGGTCAAACACATTGTACTTTTTACACATAAAACCTTAATAACTTCTAAATAATTTATTCTAAAGTCTCCAGCTTAATCAAATTCAATTCAGTATATAAGCTACATCAGAAGAAACAATAAATCATTTAACTGAATATCAATATTTAAGTTTCTCTGCCCCTTTTCCCCTCCTGCCAAATTGCATCACAATATTTATGAGGATTTTCATGAGGTTACTTGAGACCTTTATAAGCAAATTCCAATAGGACTCAAATTGTTATTTTTAAAATGATTAATTATGATTAATTAATCATTAATTAAAAATGATTAAACCTTTTTTATTTGTATTTTCACAGTCAAACAATATCAAAATATTATAATGAAATGTCTTTTTCATAAAATTGTAGAACAAGCCAAATGCAGTTTAAAATCAAAGAAAAATTAACTTTGAAGCAATGTTAATTCCATTTGACAATAATATTAGCAAAATAATTTAAGGCAATTGAATTTTTAATCATTTAAGGGGTCATAATTTAACCTTCCTCTTACCTATAAAAATCATCATAACTGAGGTCTTCATTTCCTTTTTTTCCAAACAAATGAATCAATAAAGTTGTATCCACAGTATCAAAATCTGCATCATCCTGTCAAAGTTAAATTTTACTTGATGTAAAATTATTTTAACATTGATGCTGTGCTAAAAAATAGTGCAATAAAACAAAGCAGTCTAAAGTGAAGCAACATACATTTTATTGTGCGTTAAAAAAATTAATCATTAAGCAAAAATCATGCCTTCTGAATAACCATAGCACTGAAAACAAAAGCAGCAAGTCCAAGCTAACTGATCAAACGAAACTAAGAAAGAGAATTCTTACATCGCTACCAGATCGATCTTTTCTTCGTAACATATTTCCTTTTCTTGCAACTGTGCTAAAAATTTTCTCCAGCTGAAAGTGCAATAAATATTGGAGGAAACTACATAAAACAGTATAAAAATAACAATGTTTCACAATGAATTAAAATTCAACTTTTCAGAAAAATGCCATGTTACATACAATTAAAATTTTGTCACTTGCAGAAAGAACAGTAAGTGTAAACAAATTGTGGAAATAAAACTTCAAAGAAAATTTTAGAAATTTTTATAAGTATGTAAGTATGAAACCATATCCCATTTCTGAGGAACATTTTACTGAAAATACCAAAAAATATTATAGAACTTCTTATAGACCAGTTACCAAGTAGTTGAAAATGGAAATAAGAAATATATGAAAATTGTTTTAAATGCTTCAATTATGGTTTAAAATGGATATGTAAAGTTTGCTTCTTTATGCGATTATTTAATCTTCCTCCAAACTCAGTTTAAGTTACTATCTTGAATTAACTAAGGTAGTAAAGAAAATGGTAATTTTTAAGGAGGTAAATATAGTATGAATCTCAATTCTTGCATGAATCTCATTCTTAGCATAAAAGCATTTTATTTTTAATGCAATGGCATACTATTTTTATTTCTAAAAAACTATTCAACTGCTTTAATCAAAATTCTACACATAATATAAAGTTACATAATTTAATTTGATGTAAAAATGTTATTAGCTAGGTAAGAAATGAGATAAAAGATTGAAAGTAGAACTCTGATTCACCAAGTTGACATCATCCTCAATTAAATAATTTAAAATATATATATATATATATGAAATTTATTCTTGCATGAAATTATTTTTAGGTAAATAACTTTTTTTATTAGGGGAAAAAAACATTTGAAATTGCAGCAATTAATCTAGAGAGTTGGTTAAAAATATTAAGAGTGAAAACCTGCATTGTTAACAAAAATATTTATGCCACATTGACCAGATTGCAACTACCTCTATATTGCTAAAGCCAAAAATGCTAATCCTAATTTTGGAAAACTGGCTTTGTAATTGAACTCACATAGTTAGCATTAATGAAACAGTATATCTAATTTGTGCTAATCAAACCATGAAAAGACCCTTATCAAACCAAATCAAACCATGAAAAGACCCTTAAGTAAAAATAGAACAATTAAGTTAAAAATTACTCAGGGTGTTAACTTTTTATTTTTTGAAAACTTCACATTCATTGATTTTTTTTTTTTGTAAAATATTTATAAGGTTTTAAATATTTATAAGGCTTTTCTGAATTACAGTCAAAATTCAGAAAGAAAGATTCTGAAGATTTTATTGCCTGATTAAAAAGCTCAATTTTCTTTTTTATATGCTGTTTACTGAATCACAATATCTCAATTTTAAATTAAATAAAGTTTGCAATTAGTTGAAAAATGATCCTTTTACATATAAATATTTAAAACAGGTTTAAGAAATTTTGTGCAATTATTACATATAATAACAAAAAGTAATTGTTACAAGTAACAAATTTATTGTTACATTTTTCAGCATAGGGTCTTCAAAAACACTATTTTCCATTTGTAATTTATTGTCAGTCCCTCAAATTTCTAAGATATTTAAACTGCATTGATAAGTATGAGAAATTAAACACTTCTGAAGTTATAAAATTATTCTTTCAGTATTTCTTGAGAAATGTAAAAAAGTATTAGTATAGAAGTGTTTCCATCATTTTGTCGACTTTCCGTATAGATATATATGTGTATGTGTAAAAAAGAGCATAAATTTCCTAGTAACATCAATGATAGAAAACCCCATATCTTATGAAAAATAGTTTATGTATAAAACAAGCTTAGCAAACACTGGAACTACTTACAACATTAGGAGATACACCAGAATAAAGTCCTAGATTTTCAGCAGTTTTTTTAAAAAATGATTTAACTAAAAGATGCAGAACCTAAGAAAATAATAAAATGGAAATAATAAAAAAAAGACTACAACAAAATAAAATTATTAAAAAAAATTGAAGGCATAAACAAATAAAAATTGTTGCTTAGAAATAAATATACAACATAAATGAAAACTTGCAAAACAGATAAAATATAAAATAAATTTTAAAACATAAAAACGTAAAAGTTAATAGTGTGCTCAAGAATGGAATAAAAATAAGACCAGTTTTCAAACTTAAAAAATCCCCAAAAAACTAACATATATATTATCAATAAAACAATGAGCTAACTGCTAAAGAACTCACAATAACTGTCACACGATTTGTTTTGTATGTTTTTAGATAACAATGTAATAATATGCCCCAAATTTATAACTCAACAAAATAGGGAGAACTAAGGAGACAAATTGATTTATTTACTTTTGTCTTCTCTGATAAATATGTATATATGTGTGTGTGTATATATATCTGATAAATATTTGTGTACATATATATACACACATAGGGTGCAGCAAAAGAGCCGGACAAACTGTTAACTATAACTTTATTAAAAAGAAATAAATTTTATAAGAAATAACATTTAACTTAAATTTATTAAAAATAAATGTAACAAATAATAAGAGTAGACTTTTACTAATAAATAAATTTAACTGGTTTTAAAGTGGCTGCCTTTTGCAATGATGCAGAGGTGTAAACACTTATTGAAATTTTCAGCAATGGGTCACAAGTCTTTTACCTTAAATCTACCACATTTTAGCTTTAACAATTGTTTTAACGAGCGCAAACTTTGGTACACAATAACTGTGAATAGAGACAACAAATAATTTCACACAGTCATTTTTCTTGCCTAATTAACTCTAAAATAACACATCTATTCTTGATATTGTAAAAAAGCAAAACAATATGAAATATATTATAAAATATTTTATAACTATTGGCAAAAGAAATAACAAATTTAAAAAAATTAGCTTTTTGCCCTGCTCTGCTACATATATATACATCAGAGGAAACATGTTTATAAACCATATTATATAAAAATTAAACTAAACTCAGTGGCACAACAGCCTATGGAGAACCAAGGCATACTGTTCCCATCCCAGTTTTCTTGACATTGAGCTCTGGGGTGCAGGAGCAGAGGTTCAGGTCGGGTGGCTGGTCGATGGACAGTCTCCAAGCATGCTTGGTACTCATTTTATCGATCACCACTGAAGGTGTGAAAGATTGAATCAACCTAGCTGGGTCTGAGAACTTACACACATATATGTATATATAGATATATAAAGAGAGACACCTAGTGAGACATGATACTTATGTTATCCATATGTATTGTGTAAGCAAATTTGTGATGTGTGTGTGTTTTTTTGTTTTGTTTTTTGTCTTAACATTATTGATAGAATTGTTCACTCATCTTTTTTGTTTAAAATATTTGAGAATTTGAAGAGGAAATGCTTAAAGTCAAAGTTGAAGCAGGTAGATGAGCCATAAGAACCAATATGCTTGTTAATCAAATCAAATCGAAAAATGCTGTGTCGATAACACCTCCATTTATTTTATTACTGCAAGGTACTTCTATTAATATTCAGGACTGAGTTAATAACTTCAAAAATTATTATGACACTACCTACACATTTAACATATTTCAAAGTAACTACTGCTTTCCTGAATGCACTTCTGTACTTAGCTGTAAATGTTTCTCAAACAACCTTCAAAGTCATTTTTCATAATGCTTTTCAATTCTGATATTTTTAATGTCTATGACATCCTTTTGACATTTTTCTAAAGAGTATGATGAATCCTTCATCTCCACAGTCTTCTTAAATGTCTCAACAACTTTATATGGGCCAAGGCCTTCAATATAATATTTTTCCATTTTGCTTTAGTTCCAGCCAAGGTGTTCCAGATGTTCACACTCAGTGCTTTGAAATCCCCATTAATACAGTCAGCATACCTTAGTCAGGGTTTGAGTTCCAATCGGTTTAAAACTAAAGATTCTGGATGTAACCGATCATTAGATCAAAAGTTATCCAGTGTGGTCCTTTTTTTAGAGCACTGTACTATTGATATTCACTTACCCAGATTCTTTTTCCAAAGTTTTCTCTCGAAGATAACAAGTAGATTTTTACGTGATTATTGTCGCAGTCACGCTTCTGAACCATATGCGAGCACAAGTCTACTGTATTTTATATAACATGAATTTAGTTTTCCTTTTTACTAATTTTTACAGTAGAAAATTCTTTTATAGATTAAGTACATATTTGTAACAACAATGTGTCATTTTATCTCAGTATCTAGTTTGTTCTGACTGAGCCAGGGTAGTTAAAGCCATCGACAAGTTCAAATTTTTGATATTCAATTTGTAAGAAGTTAAGGTTTATTGATGTCTTACACACAGCCATATATTTTGTTTTGCTTTCAGTAACAATTAAGTGTATTTTCGCAGCTGATCTTTCAATAGCAGTTATGCTTCCATTAATGCTTTTCAGTTTAGGCAATAACACTATCATTAGTGTAGACAGGAATTTGAATTAAGTTGGTGAAGATGATCCCTTTGGTTTTAATACTAGATGGGTCATAATCCCAGATAGATCCCTAGGATCTCCAACATAAACAAAATTTGATACAGGAAAAATATTTGAGAATGTCAAAGTCCTTAAAAAACTCTAACATCAGAATTAAAGAGCATTCCAAAAGAGGACTTTAAATCACTCAATTTCAGAAGTTCATTACAAGAAGTAGAAATTATTTCTAAACCAGTTAAATGGGCATGTAATTCACATAATAATTTTCAGAAGTTATTAGATTAATCATGGAAATTAATAGTCACACCTTGTACATATTTAAAATATTATTGCAGATTTGTCTTGCAAGGATACAGACATCCTACGCAAATAGATTAAACAAAGGATTCTATAATTCATTTATTTTTCAAATTGATTTCTAATCTGCAAAATAAAAAATAATTCGATTTTTTCGTTATTTTTTAATAGACTATACTTTACACTTTCAATATTACAAAGCTTTTGAATAAAAAAATTGCTCTACAATATATAATTTCACATAGTGAATAACTTATAGATTGAACAAAATTAAATAGTGTTTTTTTTAAATCAGAATATTGACCTTATGAAGTCATTTTTTGAAAGAGACAAAAGTGAAAATTTATATCATGACTGAGACTAAAGACTGAGAATTAACACGCGAGTAACCCTTACCTGTGAATTTCCCAATCCCTGAGTTACTTTTGGCTTAACTTTGAGTGGTGAATATAGGTAATAATGTAATAAGGTCTATGTTTAAGATTTAAAAAAAATTCTGATGCATTTATAATTTTCCTTCACTTTACATGAAAATAAGCTGGATAAAAGAGTATTTAAGTATATATAGATGCATATAAAATATTAGAATTGTATATAATAGTGAGAAATTGGGGAACAAAATGAGAACAAAATTAAATTTTTGGATCTAAATAGTTTACTTTTTCTTTCTCTCTAGGTCTGTTGGAGTCTTTCCGGATCTGTTGAGAGGAGCTAAATATTTCCAGCTATAGTCCAGCTACATTAAGTGATGGAATCAAAATAATTCAAGAACTAATACTCATTATCATCATAGTTGGTCAGACAGCCCAATATGAGCCAATGCCTTCCTTTGAAGATTTCTCCATGAAGACTTCAGATTTATCTTTGATCTCCAATTCTTTTCATTAATTGCAAGAAATTCAGACTCCACTGAGTCAGCCCATCTCAACAGCGGCCTTCCCTGCTTTCTTGTTCCAGCAGGTCTAAAAAGCAGTTTCTTTTTTTATTGTATTGACATCACTCATTCGAATTACGTAGGCAATCCAATTCATTCCATTTATTTTTATGTATTTAATAATATCAGGCTGTTTAAAAATCTTGTACAGTTCAAAGCTAAATCTCTTGCTCCAGTTATTGTTTTCATTTACACCACTAAGAATACTCCGTAAAATATTTCTCTCAAATATTGTGATACATTTTCCCTCCAGTTTTGTCATTGTCCAAGCTTCAGAAGTGTATGTCAAGACTGGACGGACAAGAGTTTTGTAGATTAAGATCTTTGTTTTTCTAGAAAGAAACATATATTTAATAAATCTTCTCAGACCATAGACAGTCCTATTTGCCAGATAGATTTGGTTTTCTGTTGTCAATAGTAATAATTGACCCTAAGTAAGTAAAACTCCTGACTGCTTCAAATCTATAAGAATTTATTTCGAGATAGGGGGCTGGGAAAACTGATACTCAGTAGGATTAAAATTTTGTTGACAAGTATACCAGAAATGATTTATGAAACATTTATAATGCATTTCTGTTCAAAAATAAAGATGCAGGTCAACATCATGTCATTCTATTACTCCTTATATTTGATGCATAAAATACTGTAGCTGTTAGACCCAAAATTGTCTTTAAATACTTAAGTTTAAGTTTATAGAAAAATATACATTAGAATTAAATACATCACAATTTTATTCATTATAACTATTTTTAATTTCCTGAAATATTTGAATAAGATTGAGGCACTAATAGGAATAAGAATTGAATGCTGAATAAAAACAAAATGCATCCATATCCATCAATTATCCAATTTGTTGAATTTACCTACCAATTCTTTATAAATAATTTACAGACAATGTGCAAAAAATTACAGAATACTGTTTTATTTTCCATAAAAGAATGACACATGATTCAACTTAATAATTTATCATCTAAAATTACACAAAGATAAAATTACACAGCCAAAGATAATGAGTTTAAATAAATAAAGAGGCTGTTTTTATATACAAGATTTATTCTGAGAAATTTTTAAACTACTATTCATGTACTGACAAAATTCCATTGTGATTTGGTTTGTGACAATCCAGACTAAAAACAAATTGAAGAACATAGAAAACTGCCATTATAAAACTCGTTGTGGTACGTGGAGAAGGCAAAAATGTAGAAAGCTAAAGTGATCGTCTGTACATTTTGACTCAGCATAGCCATAGCATTAATTCATTTTATATTTTTGAAGTTTACTAATAAACAATGAGAATTTTTTCATAAGTCATTTATGTTAAAATGAGTAACTGCGTTTTTTTTTTCCATTTCTTGGGAGAGTGGGTAGGAAGCAGAGCATTGCCTTATCAAACTATTTTGTTATCCGGCCAACATTTCAGCATAACGTACAAGAGCACCAGAAGACTACTGTACATCTACTTTCACCTACATGGCACAATTCTTTCGGGAATTTTGTTTAAATAAACTTGAAAGGCAGAGTCAATAATTTTAGTATCTCCACTGTAAATGACTAGATGCTATGTCTTTCAGCAATTTTGATATAATAAAATAAACAGTAATGTTATAAAAACTAATGAATCAAAATAATTTTAAATATATTAGAGATAAAGAGTACATACCACTAGAAATTCTTTTTTGTCAACTCTTTGGTTACCATCAGTATCAAACATATTAAAAGCAATACGAAAGCCAGATTGAGGTTCTAAAGTTTATAAATAAATATTAAAATTAATTATTAAAATTAAATATTAAAAATAAATAAAGCTACAGCACTTCAAAATGTTTTTAAATAATATAAGAATACACTTCAAATCAAAAATACAGTAAATCATCACTAGTAAAGTAAGTATTCTCAAAAGTTTGAAAATATTTTTTCAATTTTTGGTTTTAACAAAAAAGATATGCAATTTAAGATGATCATCTTCAATTGCAGACCTTAAATAAATTGCATAGATTAAGATCTTTAAAGATACATTTTAAGAAAAAAATATAATTTTTGTTTCTCAAAGAACAGTTGTAGCATAAGCATTATCTTTTATAGTTAATACGAGTAATCCAGAGCACAAGTGTTTGGATGACCTTGTCAAAGAAGGATACCGTTTGTAATCTCAACCAGTAGATAAAAACAAATCAGACCTTGTAGTTGTTCTGGAATTATTGTAGGTGCTGGAATGAAAGTAACTAATTATGAGAACTGGGCTAAAGGAGTACATGCTTCATCAGTGTGATCAATTTTACATTCTTTATTGAATTGCTACAACCAAGATCTAACTATGGAATTACTCATCACATTCAAACTATTTATTTTTTAAATTTGTCACTAAATTACACAAGCTTTGGTGTTCCTTGCATTGAAAATTTAGATGAACGATCCTATCTCGTATGCGACAGGGTATTTGATTGCGCAAAACATTTTGAAACTTTCAATAAACACATGCCAGATTAGTCAGCAATTTGAAAATGTCTTTTCTGGGTTGTCAATGAATCATCAGCTCAAATGCATATGCTTGTGCTAACCCTCTTGGCAGAATTGTGGTGACACGGCAATATTGTTGCAGAACGTTACCCAATTCTTGTAGAAAGATTTTTCCCTTGGGAAGTAAAAAAAAAAATTTCTTTCTACAGAAATTTTCGTTCTATTTTTTTATGTAGTTATTACAATTGTTTTTAAAATTCTAATTTTCTAATGCGATATTATTTATTACAACTGAATCTCAAAATGAAAACATGTATTTAGTAAACCCTTTTCAAAGAGTCGGATTCCCTTGATTTTGCCGTCAATCTTTTTTTTTTTTTGTCGTTACTGCTATGGATTTCAAGAATTTATTATTTTTTTTTATGTGTTGATGATTTACAAAATGCGAAAAAGAATGTGTTTTCTCCTTACAAAATGTGAGAATATCGGCCATAATATTAGAATTTTAAAAAAAATATGCAGATTTGTTATTTTTAAAAGTTTTTTGCACAAAGATATTAGTATTAGAGAGGTATGTGGCAGAAGGCCCGAAATAATTCTGCCACAGGGGCACTAACAAATAATGTGATGCCACTGCAAAAAACCTACTTTCTGGATTACCAAATATTTTCTGTGTAGTAAGTAGAAAAAAAATTGCCAATAATAAATGCAGTTTTTTCTAATGGTGGGGAAGGACATACTAAAATTTCAGCTCCTAAGACCGAATCTGAAATTATTCGGAAGGCAAAATGTAAATACAATGAAATTTGAGAATTTTGAAATGTAAATACAATGAGTATGGAAGCTAAACATTTCTGTCAGAAGTAAATTATTATATGGTCCCTATATTCATAATATTTAACATATCTGAGAAAATTGAACTTTTTATTTCAACTGTTTGCAAATAAAACCATTAAGAGATGAATGAAAGTTTTTTGGAATGACAAATTTAAATTTTTTACATAACTAAACATAAGATTTCTTGCAGCTTTCAAAATATTAAAAGCCTCTAACTTCTTATTTTTTCACAATCTTGCCTCTAAATATTATTGAGTCATCTCATAAAACAACTTAACACTACTGTTTTTAAAGTAATAATTCAATAATTAATAAAAAAGTAATAAGCATAAAAAAGTAACAAAATGCAATAAAAAATTATGGAATTGGTGGACACGCTTCAGGTAAAAACATTACAATTAAAATTCTCAATTAATTCTTAAATTTAACGAATAAAAGGGAGATGCAAATTTTGAGGTGATAAAGCTTTGGGATTCTTCACTGCTCCGAGGACCCATACAAAAATACATAATTAATGAATGATTCCCAAGTCAAGTTCAAAGCTTATGGTACTGATCGATAAATAGAATATCTCAAGAAGGTCAATAGCTTGCCAGTAACGAAGAGGATGGTGTGTCACAAACGTTGAAATTAACAAGAAAAATAAAAGTATCTGCTGCTACTTAGGGAAAAAATGACAATGTTTAGTTGGTCCCTGTAATCAGTGAAAATTCAAAAACATTTTCAATTCCATTTCAAAGGGCGGAAAATTAAGCCTGAAATGGAGAATCTCTTACAAAATGCAACAGAGTTGCACATGAGAGGGAATGGCGCTTTCATACGCGCTGTTGAAAAAGAATGGGGTTGAATTAATTATGAAAAAGTTGAATAGAACAATCACTTTTTGTATAATTCTTGGCAAAAATCATCATGGTTAAAAAAATATCTAATTTTGGAAAAATGAAAATTAAGCACTTTTTAAAAACACCCAATGAAAAAAAGCGCCTTTAGGGTTTTTAAAAAACGAAAATAAGCACCTTTAAAGACTTTTTAAAAACGCTACACACTCTGGTAGATAAACAAATAAATTGAGGGCAAAAATAGAGAATCTTTGCAAAACTTACAGCAAGGACAAAGAACAACTGTCAAGAAACTACAAGCCATGAAACAGCTTTGACAATGAATTTATGAAGATACAGCGACAAAAAAAAAATAGTTTTAAAGGTAAAAATAACTTTTTATTAACTTTTTATTTACAATTTCAAGTTAAAATCTGAGGCTAGGGGGGGGAAGGGGGTAAATGTTTACACCATTAGATATTTCATTATAACTTCAAAAATAAAATGTTCATTGAAAAATTAATATTATTTTATAATAATTTAGTGCTAAAACTTAAGGCAAAGACTGATTTTAAAAATTATGCTTTAAAATTGAGAATTGGTAGGATTTATCATTCAAAAACTTAATATCAGAACTTAATATTTAAAAACTGCTCTCATTTTTATTTGCACTCTAAAAAATCTAAAAGTATTACAAGATCTCAAAAGAGACATTCCAAAAGGGCAATAATTTATTATTATTTATAATGCAATTTATTTATTAAAACTAATGCATACAGCAAAGTACTAATGCAGAGAACAAATTTAAAAAGAACAAAAATTAATACAAGGAAAAAAACTAAACAAAGCTCTATAAATATGATATCAAAATAAATCATTTGATTTCATCCGATAGAATACTATTTACTGAATATGCTTCACTCTTTATACAACAAAATTTCATATTATTTAGCTCTACATATATTTTTAGGGCATCAATTTTAAAATTCTATAATTTACTTAATCCAAGCAGAAAAATTTAATTATTAATATTTTAATGCCTATTTATCTTGCTACTCTATTATTTTTTATAACTTTTTGATATAAACTTACTTGTCAGTACTGAAAGAAGAAAGAGGTATTCAGTATATGATATGATGCCTGGAATGAAATAAAATAAAAAATGGAATTTATAACAAAACAGCACTTTGATCTGGGTATAAAATCAATATTGCATTTTTTAATGCTATAACAACAGTACATTTAGATTAAATTCGTGATCAAAAATGACATCTTAATACTTATATCTCACACATATTTTTGAGATTACCAAATCACCAAGTAAAATATTAAAAGCATCTTTCAAAATTATAACAAAAATCAAGTTTTCACACTAGAAAAAAAAATTGAAGAAAGAAATCAAATGAAAAAAATTGAAGAAAGAAATCAAATGAAGAAAATTTTAAAAATTTTTAACTTAGTTATTATAAAAATTTTTACCACAGCAGATAATAATCTTTCTGTCAGATATCGAAAATATGATATTAAAATGGCTTATCTATAAAAAAATAATAATTAAAATTTTATTTAAATGTATTGGTATATTTTGATAATTATAAATTATTTAGTACTGGATTTTTATATAATTTTTTGAGTGTAATATATAAATGCAAAGTTTGAGAAAAGGACTAACACAGTAATCAGCATGAAAAATCTGATATTTACATCCAGCTTGCACATTTTAAAGCTTTTCAAAACCAGTAAAGTAATACTATTGACTTGCAAAATGGAACTTTAGAATTAGTGTAGCTAAAATCTTTGTTTAGAGTAAATTATATAGCTCTACATTTGTAATGACACCGATGGTCGTTTAAATTACTTTGCAATATAAAATCATCTTCCAAAACAAGGAATGCAAATTGCGGAGATGATCTGGACAATGTACATTGGGCAATGTTAAATAATTTTAAAAAAAGGCATTGTATTTAAGAATTGATTAATTTGTAGCATAATAGTACAGCTACAAAAATTTGCAACACTTAAGGCCAAAGCCTAGTTCATTGCCAATACACATAAAAAATAAGATATGCAAAATGTGTTAACAATATTAAAATAGAAAAGAAAATAAACTATAAAATAATTCCTTGATCAAATGGACATTTTCATTAACCTTAAGATCTTAAACATTCATTGTAAAAATTAAGCTTAACAAATGACATTCCCAGATGATTTTTTTATCTCAAATCTAACAAATTAACCCTTCATACCATTAAGATCGAGTCAGTATGTGAAGATCTGATCATTAAAGCAAAAGTAATTCAGGGTAATTCACATTTTTCTTGTTTTTTGTGCACTGCATCTGTTCTAACTCAGGATAAGAGAAGTTAGTCAAAACTTACTACAAAAAGGAAGAACTGAAAGTAATAAAGTGTAATATATAAATGCAAAGCTTGAGAAAAGGACTAACACAGTAAATGGGCAAATCTTTGAATGAAATATCGTAACAATGAAAATGGCTGTAACAATACAACAATACCTAATATTTTATCAAGCAAAAATTATTTTTGATAAAACTAGCAATACAACAATACTTAATATTTTATTAAGCAAAAGTTATACTTGGCAAAACCACGTTATTAAATATTTTTAAATGAAAAATTTGACCAATAAAAAATATCAATCAAACAAAATTATTTTTGTTTTCAATTTATTGGAAACAAAAAAAATCAGCATTTCAGTATGAAGAGAAATTTTTCCTAATGTTGAAAGATTAGATAATGTTTAAAAAAAAATAAAAAAAACATAAAAACAACTCTGTATTTGATATTTAAAAAAAAAATGTTTTAAAAGCATATGATTACCTCTGTCATGCAAAGATCGAAACAAACTAGTAGACCCTTTTCGTCTATGAGGAGTAGTATCATATAATGAATGAAGTTCCTTTTTAGAGAGCACTTTACGTTTCAGTCGAGCTGCAAGTGTTTTAGAAAGTTTTATTTAATAGAATATCTTATTTAAACATAAGTGTAAAATTACAATGTAAATTATGAATATATGTTAGCTTTCTAATTTATGATCTCATTGTTAATAAAGAGCTGACACAACTACCTACCATTTTCTAGAAAATGCAGAAATACAATCTAGGTGCAGAATTTATAAGGAAACACTAAAACTTTTCCTGGTAGAAGATTATGGCAGGTCTTTCTATTCTTTTGACTATACAACAGGCCTTTCAGTTTTATTTTCCCTTGCAGACAAAAATAAGTAAAGACAAATATCTAATCACAGACTCAGCAGATTTATAATTTTTTATGGTGTGCAGATCAACACACAGGTTTCTGCTCTTGTGAATGTTTTTATAAATAAGCACTCAACGCAGAGGTTTATAAACATATAACACTGAGATTAAATACTGCGAAATCAACAAGAATGCTCTCCCTGGCAAAAAAATAATTGAATTTTTTTTTTTAAAAATTCATTTACTTTTTCATTCTAAGAACTGTAGATGCAAAAGGAAACGCTCATGAATTTATAAATAATACCTTATTGAGAACGTAGGTATTATTTATAAATCCATGACTTTTTACAATCTTCTATCAACGGATCCTTCCTTTTTTACAGAATTGCACATGAATCTTTCAAGTCCTGACATTTTCAAAATGATATTATTATAACACATGAATTTCAATTTGTGTAATTACTTTTTGAGGTGCTTAATTTCATTGCAAATTCCAGGAATTTAATGAAGTTCCAATAATTGTTAGATAAATAATAAAAGGTTTTTTGGGATTTTATTGTTAAATGAAAGATAGTAAAAGAAATTTAGATCTTTCTCTTTCATTTCGTCCATCCTGTTTTTGGTAATGTAATATTTTCTCATGTATTTCAATTACAATATCAAAAACTGCACATGTTTGACTGGCTACAAGCTAATACTTTATAAGCTAATTTGTTTTGAAAGAAATCAATCTCAGTGGAACTTTGTTTTGTTACTATGAAAAGTATTATATACATTTGCATTGATATTTTGCAGCCTATTATACTGTCATTGTGACTTAATAGGCTGCAGTACAATACATGAATTTTGGTTTGCGTAATTGAGAAATCACTTTTTGATGTGCTTGATTCTATTGAGAATCTTGATTGCTTATCTATTGTTTTTTGGCAGTTATTGTAGATTTTCAATTGGTTTTTAAAGTCTTAATTACTTACAATACATATATTTTAGTACAATATTACAACACACAAACTCAAATACCGTAATTTTGTGGAGAAACGCTGCCTTGGTATATACGCAGAGCTCTCAAAAAAAGCTTTTCACTGGATACGCCACACCACCAAATTTTACTACACTAACGCAGGTATTAATTACAGACTTAACACACGCTCTAAATACATATATATATACATATACATAGTTTAAATAGTTAAATGAAAACCAATCTGAACAAAATAATTTATAAATCAAAAACCATTAAATTGTTAAAAATATAAATGAAACGATCTTACTTTTAAATCAGCAATCTAAAATCTTGCTTTTGAAATAAACAATAAATCCAAACAAATTTTGTTTAAAGAAAAACTAAAGAATCATTTATTTTAGGAGTCTGTCTAGGTTTTTCTGAGAGGTACCTATTTTGTGAAAATTTAGACATCATTTGTGAAAATTAAAAATTATATTAAAAAATCAACACAAAAATATGGATTAATTGTTTCCTATGGGATACAAAAATAAAATTTTAAGAAAAAGTATTTTTGAAACTACCGTTTTTCCTAAAGTTGAATTTGTGAAGGTACCGCTAAACAGTAGTAAATTTGGCCTGGACAGACCCCTGTATTTAGATATCCCATATCACTGCACTTAAAATCCCTCAAAATCAGAACTCTCTGTATAAGAGTAAAATAGGTTTATTAATTCATTGTTTATTTCACTTTTACTTTTTACTTTTTCACCCACACTTTTAGCATCACTTTCGGTTTCATTTTGTCCCGGGATGATTTCCACTTTTTTAAGCCATTTATCACAGTTTCTTTTTCTCTTTTAACTGCTGGCAGCTCAAACGCAGCTGTATAATTTTTCCTCTTAATGGGAGGCATTTAAAATGTATAACTTAAAAACAAGTTAAAGTAAAATTTCAATAAAACAAAAGTTAAAACAAAGCAAAAAAATTAACGAAAATAGTATAAGCAAAAAAAAAATTTAACAAAAGAAAAATAATAATAAAACAAAAACGCAACAGAAGATCAGAATTGAAGATTAAATGATAAAAAAAAAATAAGCTGAGAAAGATGGTCAAACTCTAAAGACAGAAATACGAGCAATGAAAAAAAAGATAAAGTGCTCTCCCAAGCATTTTAAACAACTTTCTATATTCCCCATCTTCACTTCTTAAATCAGGCTTCAGAAAACAGCTCTTTTTTGAACTGATTCTGCCTAGGACAGTCTTTCTCTGATGTGTAAAATCCATGTGTTAAATTCTCACACATTGCTTTTTCCCCTTTTCAGTGACCTTCAGTTGAAAGTTTGAAATTCTTCTTTAACATCTTAATTGTAAGAATATTCAATGTCATCCCAAGCTCATCAGCGCCCTTTATTCATCTAACATTCACATGCTCTTATTAACCAGTTGAAGAAAAAAGGGGAGTAGAGAGGCATCTCATGACAAGTGGAAGAGTCATATTTCCTGGAAAAAATGGGGGGGGGGGCATTTGTCTTACAACTGATTTTATCACTGACCCCACCCTGATTTTCTTCATTCATTCCTTTCTGATTTATATTTCTCCACTCCATGTCCATTCCCCTACACTCAACAGCTGTTCATAGGGCAGAAAGGAAGGAGAGAATTTGTTTTCAGAAAATGATTCCAAGAAAGGATGGGGGAGGGAAAAATTCCAGGTGCGTTGACCATTCTTTGGAGTAACATTAAGCATGAAAAAATAAATAAAAAGCACTAGTAACAGGTGGAAAAAATTATGATGAAATTTCCAGTGGAGCTTCTAGAAAGCAAAATTTTCTAAAGAAAAAAAAAAGTAATACTATATAGGCCGCCCCGTTAGATACGACTTCATACTAAATTTTAAAATAATAACACCGCGGCGTAGCTCCGCAAAATTACGGTAATCACTTTTAGGGTTTAGGCATCATTTTTAGAAGTATTCAATGAATCGTGACTATTTCATTGAAAATCACATGGCTTATTTAACAGTTAGTGGTACAAATTTACAGATAGTTTTGAAATCCTGATATTTTAATGTGATAGTATTAAGGCACATGATTTCGCCGGGGGCACAGTTTAGTGATCATTTTTTTTTACTTGCTTGATTCTCAATAAATTCCATTCTAACTAGCATTGTCTATCCTTTTAGTCATTATTGCTACATATTTTCATACTTGCAAAAATTTGGAGGGTTTTTTTAGATAACATATTACGATACCCAAAACTCTAAGAAAAAAGCGGTTTTCTTTTCACAGATAATAGTTTATTTTAATAAGCTAGTAAGAAATAGTAATATCACCTATTTTTGTTTTGGCTACACAATTATATTGTACAGCCAAAATTTTTAGTACGTAAATCAATTTCAAATATTTTAAATCAAGTAAAATTTTATTCTATCTTTTAATTTATGCCTAAAATTTTTTAATTACTTGCATTACTTTTTTGATGGTAAAAAACCTTTGAAAATATGGTTTTTAATTCTTACAAACTGAAATTCTGTTTAAATACTAGCTGAAATTAAATTTAAAAAAAGAACAAAAATGTGTCTTATCAATAATTCTAGTATTTAAAATTGGAAGCACAAATCAATACACTAATGGATGTTTAAAGAAAAGTGAAACTCTCAAAAACAAGTTAAAAATACAGATAAAATTAGAGATCAGCAAAATTTTAAGAAAATAAACAACATTAATATAATTTAATAGATGGTTCACAGAAAAATAAAACTGAATGTAGTTGAAAGTTAATATCTTTAAATATTTCAAAAAATTCACATATGTTTTTAAAAATATAAGGAAAAAATACAAAACTTCTGTAGGACAAAAACAAATAAATTAGCAAATGCATCCATCGACAGTAATAATTAAAATAAAACTTACGTCGAGGATCAGAATCGGTTACCGAATCTAAGAAATCTTGAGGTGTCATATAAAGCTGCCCATCATATTCAACAGATGCAAATTTTATATATCTTCTCTCTCTCTGGGTTAACTGAGACATTTGCACATCTTCATCTTTAGACTATTGAAAAAAGAAATACAATAAATATTAATCTTCACTGTTTAGATATTTAAGGTGTACATAATATAATGTTAGACAATTTTTATTTCTCAATAAACATATTTTTCTTTTTTGACAGATTTCAAATATTAAGAAATTGGTAGATGGACTTAATTTAATTTAGTAAGAAGATAAATAAAAAAAATTGGAATCCATATTACCGTTTGCAAATTTTGTTATACCTATGAAGGATAGAGTGTTCAATGGAAGGAAAAGCACAATAAAAATTTTCTCTCAAAATCAGATTCAACAATATTTAACAGAATAGTATTAAAATTCTACTGCAGAGTGGCAAGCAATAGTATTATGTTGTTTTTCAGCATTATCATTTTCAAATATGCGCAAATCAAAAAGAAATATATCATTTTTTAAAATTTAGGGTAATCCCTAATTATGGGATGGTTAAGTTTTGTTTCTGCTCTGGCTTAAGAAGGAACATCTATTAAAGATAAAAGAAAAAAATTATCATCCTGCAACTCGCTGAAGTTCTGGAAGTAAGTTCTCATTATGTTCTTATTTATTAATAACAAAATATTTTATTTAAACTTCTTTTAAATATCTCTTCTAAAGTACAATATTTATAAACACATTATCTTAATGAGACTTTTTTTTAAAAGATCGTATTGTTTATGCACAACAATTTGTGAATATGTTTAAACTACCCCTGAGCTTACATTATTTGAAAAATGGACTGTGACCAATTTCTATTATAACCTAACTTTTATAGTAATTAATTAGTTTATAATCAATTTTATGTTAGCTCTCTAAGATTTCTAAACTAATGACAATTAGCACTAACTGAAACTGAATTTCTCGTTCAAATCACAGGGGCTAAATCAATGTCTATTTTGCTCTCAAAGTCCATTTTGCTAAAGAAAAAAAAAAAAAAAAAACATACACATAAAAAAATTTTACAAATTACATTTGAATTTATTGTTTATAAAAAGAGAATTTCACAAGCTTTATAGAAGCCCATCACTGTAACTCATTTATTTTCTTTCATTTTTTATGCCAATCTATTTCTTAGACAGCTGGTGATTATTTTGGTGTAGATACCGATACAGAAATCTTCTGGGATTCGTATATTAGATTAAGAAAGCACTATAAGGGAGAAACTTTTCATCGCAAATTCAGTTTCCCCTCCATAACTTAAAATTTAAAGTATAGAAAAAGTGAGTTCAGATACATAAGAGCAAGCCAAGAAGTTTTAATTGCTGAAAAAATATTTCAAAATGAAAAAAGTCATAATCCTAAGTTAATCTCTTAGAACTTGTTTCTGTTTTGATAGTTTGTAAGTTGCTTTTTTTTTCAGCATTTGCACTTCAGAGCTCACTCTAAGAGAGGAGAAAGAGAATTTGCAATGAAAAGTTTCTCCCACGGCATAGCGTCCTCTTAATGAATTGATTGGGGATATTTCGTGTCAGGTGTTATAAAATAACGAAATAACAGTTTGCATTATTTATTTACTTCTTGCGAAATTTATACAGTATTTTCGGGTGAATAATTCAACTATTTCAAGACCTTAAATTGCAATGATACTAGGTTAATGCAGAACAGTCGCTGGGCCCTGGCGGCAAAAGTGAACTTGTTAAAAAATGGAAAAATTTTGTTGGTTATTTTTTAAAAAAAATACTAGCCCGTAGGTCACTAACAGTGGAGGAGCAAGAGATGGACATCTGTCTACGGGCGTAGCTTCAGAAGAGCTGAAAATATAAGGTCAAATTGACATTAAATAATTGCAAATGAATACCATATCATCCCCAAAATTCAATTTAGACTCTTAAGTAATAAACCATACTCTACTTCAGCTTACAGGTTTTGTTTGTTGATTGGCACGAACTAATGCTATATCTCTTTTAGCACCAAATTTCTGAAGTTTATCGCTAAATATTAACAAAGTTACACCAGCACCCAAAGTAGCTCCGAGGTAACAGATTCTATCTTTATTAACTTCAGAAAAATAAAATGCTTTTCGGGAAAAATCATGCTTATTTAAGCTATTAAACTTCATAAATATTTTCCGATAGAAACTTCTGAACGACATTGTTTACATTTACGCAATATTTCCTTGAACCGTTTCTAGCTGTTTAGTTCTGTTCAATATAATATTGTGCAAACAAGAGAAATAGGGTGTCATCATTTTCCGAAAGCCTACTTGGTGGCGCTACTAATACATGGTGTTTTCAATACAACAAAAACAAATTTCGAGATTTTACCATCACGATTTTCGGTTAGAAAGTTAACGTTAGTTACATCTACTTACTATAATTTATTTGCGATCGCAGTGCTAGAATACGCCATATGGGTAGAAGACCAATTCCATGTCTTGACCCTCCCTCCTCTTTTCAGGTTGTAGTTGTTGTAGTTGTTGTTACTTTACGTCGCACTAGAGCTGCACAATGGGCTATTGGCGACGGTCTGGGAAACATCCCGGAGGACGATCCGAAGACATGCCATCACAATTTTGATCCTCTGCGGAAGGGATGGCACCCCCGCTTCAGTAGCCCGACGACCTGCGCGCGAAGTCGAGCACTTTACGGTAGCACAGTTTAACGAGGACCAATACCGCACACCCTCGGTCCCTACGCAGACTGATCCAAGTGGTCACCCACCCGCACACTGACCGTAGCCAGTGATGCTTGACTTCGGTGATCTGCTGGGAACCGTGTCTTAACGATCAGTCCACTGCGGGACCTTTTCAGGTTGTAAAGGAATGTACTATGATATTTTCGTCTTTCTTAATATTTTTCGTATTTAATTGTCAGTGGACTGATCGATAAGGCACGGTTCCCAGCAGATCACCGAAGTCAAGCATCACTGACTGCCGTCAGTGTGCGGGTGGGTGACCACTTGGATCAGTTTGTGTAGGGACCGAGGTTATGCGGTATAGATCCTCGTTAAACTGTCCTACCCTAAAGTGCTCGACTTCGTGAGCAGGTCGTCGGGCTACCGAAGCGGGGATGCCATGCCCTCTGCAGACGGTCAAAATTGTGATGGCGTGTCTTCGGATCATCCTCAGGGATGTTTCCCAGACCGTCGCCAATAGCCCATTGTGCAGCTCTAATGCGACGCAATGAACAACAGCAGCAACTTAATTGTCAAATCTATTATCTGTTAATCTATTTGAAAATGAAGACAGAAACTCTCCACTCGCTAATGGTGAGAGCAGGCGAAGTATTGTCATAGGTAGAGAGTTCTACTCTACGTCACCTGTAGCCAATTTCGATCGCTAATTGTGTGAGGCAATATTTCTAAACAGATAATTATATTTTTAATAAAAGAAATAAATAATAGAATTTCTGACAAATCTGCTGTCATAAGATATCAATGCTGTTAAATAATTTTGATAATTCTCTAGTGAAAATTCGTTTTAAAAAATATTATATTATATTGTTTAAAAAAAAAAGGTGACATAGAAAGAACTCGTTTTTTTTGTAGTCCTGGTGTGGCTTCTTTTAACTTGCTTATTACTATTTATTTTTGTTGCAAGCAGTGCATGCATTAGTGTTAGTATTTAGTTAGCGAGACAAAGTATATATTGCAAATTATCATTTAGATTTAAATTTCGAAGTTAGAATATTGTTGACAAAGGTAGGTACTTTATTAAAGCCGCACTACTGCTGCACAATTGACTATTGGTGACTGTCTGGGAAACATCCCTGGGGATGATCCGAAGACACGTCATCGCAATTTTGATCCTCTGCAAAAGGGATGACTCCCCTGCTTTGGTAGCTCGATGACCTGCGCACGAAGTCGAGCATTTTTACGGTAGAACAGTTTAACGAGGACTGATACCGCTCACCCTCGGTCCCTACGCAGTCTGATCAAAGTGGTCATCCACCCAATAATTCTTGACTTCGGTGTTCTGCAGGGAACAGTGTCCTTACGATCAGTCCACTGCCTGGACTTTGACAAAAGTAAGAAGTCTTTTATCACAATTCTATTTCTAACAGTAATTTTAAATTTTTATAACCTCTCAAACTACATGCTTACTATCTTTTCACCATTTATGTTTATTATAATATAACTAGATTGCACTGTCTTCCCCGTTTTCTGTCTTTTCATTAGTTACTGTGGGCACGTTGAGTTTGCGGTGCTCGCCACCTCACTTCAAGTTAAATAGCCTCAAAATATACCGGATACTCAGAATTGTAGGTGGTAAAGAGTCTGCAGCGCTTACTAGAGTAGAAAACACTATCTATAAAAAATATTTTATCTCTTGTAGTGTTTTAAATAAGGATTTTTTTCAAAATTTAATTAAAACGATATTAAATTGTGTAGATTGTCATCTTTTTCTCATGATTCGAAAGGAAAGAGAGAGTAACAATAAAAAATAAAAAAAGATGATAAATTGATGGTCAATCTTTGATCCAGACAGGTCTTTCTTTTATCTTGTGCAGTGTTTTAGAAAAAGGATTTCTTCAAAATTTAATAAAAAAGATGTATGAAATTGTGTAGCGTTACCTTTTTCGCGTGATTCGGAAGCAAATGAGAAGGAAATAAATAAGAAAGATCATAGAATTATGGTTTTTGAGTCAATTTATAATTAGTTATATTGCATAATATAACTGTAATTTTGAATCAAATTAGAAAAATCCAAGTAACACAAAACATCCTTCAAATATCTTAATGAAATCAAATACATATTTGAAATTTTCAATAAAAAAAACATGACTTTTCATTTTAGATTGTTGCCAAATACCATTCATTCATTTTCTTCAAGAAGAAATTAGGTTTTATTTAGAAATTTTCATCATTACATTATAAAATAAAATAAAATATTAGTTAAAATTAAAACTGGGCAGATTTCAGAAATAGTAGTGAAATATCATTTAAATGTCGCAAAATGATGTTGTTTCTAAAATATTAGCGGAATATCCATTCTAATAACGATATCAAACGTCTATATTTCAAAAAGAGATGCAAACAAATGCAGATGGTCATTAAGAGAATGATTTAATGCAATAAAGAATGTTAAATTTTTGTTAATACGAATCTTTAAGTAAAGAATAAGAATCATTAGGGGCTTGTTTAGTTTTCAATAAGTCTATTGATTGCTCCGTCGTTGAAATGACAAACGGTTGCTGCTGCACAATGGGCTATTGGAAGCGATCTGGAAATTATCTATGAAAATGATCCGGAGACAACATACATACGCCACATTCCGTTTTACCGGGAGGACGTATTCTCACACCATCTATCCATCCGCAGATCGTAATTTAGACCTGAACCAGAACACGATCCATTTCCGATCCCCAGAGGTATATTATATTTTATTTTATAACCTTCAATAAACAGCCGAACAGAATTTTGGGTTTATGACTACTAATGTTCAACTCCGTAGCCTTATAATTTTGAACCCACTCCAGAAGACAAGGAAACTCCTGGTTCAAGTATTGGGGAGAAATTTGCCTTCGTGGAGGATTTTTTTGATGGAACTAACCCGCATTTGCGCTACATATAGAGAAAAACTACTAAAATCTCTCGGTTTGCTTGACAGCAAGGATACTCTAACCCATGATCCATCTACCACTGAGGATATTTTATGGCAGCACTGTGGTCGGTGCGAGCCGGGTGTGGAATTCGTATCGACCAATTATCGCTGGGATTCAAACCCGGTTCACTTCATTGGAACGCGAACGTTTTATCTCCTAATGAGAACTTGGAGGACATTACAACCACGACAGTTTTAGCGTATATTTGTCACCATTTTGTACACTGGGAGTCATAGGCCAGAGGGGATCGAACTCACACAAACAATAACAAAGGCGCCTACATGTTGAAAAATAATCAAGCTACCAGTTCGTTTCTACTGAGCCAGATTAAGAACTTTAGAAGCTCTAAGCGCTTAAAAAATTTTAAGCATCTTAAATGTAATTAAAAATATCAACACAAATAAAAAAATATTTCTTTAAAATTGAAATTAAAGTAAGTTCACTATAATAAATAAATTTACATATGTGTCAAATTTAACACTTTTTGTTGAGGATCTAGTGAATATCAAAATGTTTCAATTAACTTTTTGAGGGGTTTTCAATACTAACCACATGCTCTATAATCTTAGAGTCAAACAAAAATAATTCTTGTGTTTTATTTTTTTTTTAAATTACCGAACCACGAGCTATTTTTTTAAAATTTTAGTTTTATTCCCTATACCTTAATTTTTTATTCAAATTTTCCGGATGTTTAGTAACGTCTTCTAATATGCTTTTGAAATTTTTCTGAAAACTAAGCGAAAAAAATATTTTTTTTGTGGATCTCCAGTTGATATGTATTCATGTAAAAAAAAAGTGATCGAACTTCAATGAAATTTTATAAAGAATACGAAAACATACAAAAGCTTAATACTACATAAAAAAGGAATTAATAATCAATGAAAATAACGAACACTATTTTTTTTTCATATCTGAGAATGTTGGGTAACCTGTTACAGTTCATGGTGAATTTATAAAAGTTCCAACAGCATTTATTATTAACTGAGTTAACTCACTTTCGCATTTGTAACGATGGCAGCTTTCGATTAAAATTTCCATCAATTTCCGACAAGCTAGAGTACTTTCTATTGGAGCTCCGTGATTATTGATAATACAAGTTGCTATCGTTTCCTGAACACAGAAACAGAATTTATTACCATTTTATCGGGAAATAGGACGTATCATCAATAGATATTTTGGTCACTTTCTCAAAATGCTCCAAATGAAATTAGCATTCTATTGGCAAAACAAGTTACGATTGTTTCCGCACCACTGAAAGCTAAGTTTCTTGTCATTTTATCACTAAAATTAATTTTTCGTTAAACAAAACTTTTAATCTTTTCCACCTAACAAGTGGAATCCTCAAATTTCAACTGAAAACTTGTGTCTGATGACAATTCAAGTTAGAAATGTTTGCTAAAAGTTTATCTCAATTTAATGGCAATATTAATTTCTACCCTCTTCCAAAAAAACAGGTCCAAAACTAAAATAAATAAAATAATGTGAAATAAAAACTATGCATTTTAAATATACTTAAAAGAAAAATAATAATTATATTTTTGTCACAGAAAAAACGAAAAATACAGACCCATCATTTTCTAGAGATAGAGAGGGAGAAGAATTGAAGTTG